TTAATACGAGCGATCATGCTCAGAAGACCTTTCTATGGGATTTTTCGAGGAATGCTTGGGTTATGAATAAAGAATCTAATGGTTTCAATTCTTTGTTTTTTTGTTTTGAACATCGTTTTTTTTTTTTAGAATACTAATTACACTGTTTTTACATATATTTATCTATGGAGAAGATAGTGACTCTGATGATACAGAGGTTTTATCTGGTCGTGGTACTGATGATGATTATTTTGAGGATTATATGGGGTCTGATTCAGAGACGGGCGATGATACTGATGATATGGACCAAACAGATGAATATGATTCTGAGGATGATTTTATTGACGACGATGAGTCTTGTGAAGAATCTGATGGTTCAAGTGATAACTCAGAAGGTGATAGCGGTGATGACGAAGATGAAGATGATGACGATGCTGATTCAACTGATGATGATGAAGATAATGATGAAGATGTTATGTTGGATGATGAGACTGATATTGACGATGATAGTGAAGATCAGCGAAACGTCGAACTGAGTGATATACTCATCGAAAAGAATATTAGTATATCTGGACACCAGGATTCGGTGTGTACTTATACAGTTTCTCTTGGTTCAATGTGTTTTGGAAGGTGTGTGTCACGTTTGAGTCCTTCCAAAGATGGTTGTACTATCTTTGTTAAGGTTTTACAAACGTGGATGCATATGCTAATTTCGAAACATTCTTCCATGGAGCTCATATTGTCGGATGAACAGGTATTTATTTTACTATTACACAAAAATATTCTAAATTTTTGTTGGTGTCTAATTGACTGTTTTATTCACAGGGTGTTAAAATTCAGGCCACTGTTAGTGATGGTGAGATCGGTGTCGCATCGTCTCGCATAGATGTTGGTAGTTGGATTATTATCAGTCGTTTTTCTGTTATCGATTGTGAGGATAGTTGTAGACCGACTTCTCATAGATAAAAAATATTGTTCCTACCATCAACTATCATTGACAAGACCTCACGTAGATGTGAAAAATGCTTATTTTGACTTCGTTGATTTTCAAAGGATATTGGATCGTGTCCATGATGATGACTATTTAGTTGGTGTGTTTATTTTCGATTTAGTTATTGAATTTCGTTATTATTATGTTGTTGATGTTAACATGGTTTAGTTTTTGTTGTTTATGAAGATTTGATAGGTCGGGTCTTAAATTTGAGTCGATCTGGGACGTGGTGTGGTTTACTGACTGGAGAGCATTCTGTTCCTTCATATGGCAGTCCATGTAATGATATATGTGATTCCGAGATATGGGGTTCATATTCAACCGTCACGTTCTGTCTTAGGGATAAACGGTACTGTCTGTTGGATGTTTTAAACTGTATAGATTGTCGTTTTATTTATTCTATTCATCTGATTATGTGTGACGTGTTTTAATTTAGTGGTGTTGATTTGAGTTGTGAATTGTCCGGTGAGATGGCTAAAAACTTTTATGCATATTGGAGACGCTGTGATCAAGATATCATTGTGTGTGTGCTTAGATGGGCCGTTATTGATTATTTTGGAGGTATTTTCATTATACTAATTTATATTCTCTATATTCGTTTCGTTTTATTGTTTTGACTCTATATGTGTTTTATCAACATAGGCAAGATCACTATATCTTCCACATCTCCTACTAAGTTCGAACTCAATCCCCGTATTCCTGAGTTAGATGAATTTTTGGAACAGTGAATTTCTAATACTTAATGTTTGTATTTGACTTTTTAGTATTAATTCGTGGTCGCCTTCTCTCTCTCAAATCTTTTTTTATAACAATGCAGATATCCGCGTAAGAGGTCATGCACGCGTGGTAGTGTGGGACGTCTACATTGCATAGTGTTATGATGCATCTTATTCAGATATGCATATATCATTTTAAAAAACGATTTACCATGTATACAAATTATAGTTTAATTATTCTTTATTCTTCAGACCTCTTTATTTTAATCAATAAATATATTTTTTAATGTAATTATTATTGTTGTTTGATATTGAGATATGGAAAGTGGAGAAAATAATATAAGTTATATATTCACATAAATAACGCATTTTTTATTGATTTCTTGGACTCTAAGTAACTCAAATTTATAAATATTTGAGAGGATTCGAAGATATCCCCGATCACATCACAACTTTTAGTTTTTTTCCATTTAGCAGCTATGAAAATAATAGTGTTTCTTTTATCAGACACAAGATATTTAATAGATTATTTAATTACTTATTAAAAAGGAAAAACTCAGTAGTTGAGAGGTAAAAAAATTCTGTGAAAAAGTCTATTCGTTAAAATCTATAAAATGTAAATAAAGGAAAACATTATAAGAAACCCTAGAAAAAAAATAAACAACGCGTAAACCACATAATTCTTATATCTCTATATATATGCATATATTTTGGTATAGGTATATATATATATATATATGCGTCTATCGCGACTTCGCGAGTTATCAGTCTGCATTGTTAGAATTATTTGCATTCGGGTTCTTCGATGGAAGCGTTTGGTAAATGAGTTTTGTATTACGTTTTTAGAAACGTCACTAATCGTTAGTTTTCTTTACGGTATTTTATTGATTGTTGTTATTGTATATATGATTGTTTTTCTATTGTCTATGTCTAGGTGCTCACAGGCGACCACGTGTTAATTGGCAAGTTATGCCGTTTCATCTCCCTGGGGAAAATATTGCGTTTTCTAATAATTTAGATAGACGTGTTGCTGCTAGAAAACCTAAATTCCTTGCTTGGTTTAGGTGTAATCAGTCTTATCCAGAGGCAAGGAATCTTTTATACTTGGAGATTCCTTCTATGTTTGTATGGGATCGTAAAACAGGACATAGAGGCCAAGACTAAAAGGAAATTCTGGTGCGTGTGTTGTGGACGAATCGCCGACAGAGTACGGAGAAGAGTATTATCTAAGGCTCTTATTGGACATAGTTAGGGGTCCACATAGTTTTGATGATATAAGGACTGTTGGTGGAGTCGTGTGTCCTTCGTTTAGAAGTGCATACCATGCATTAGGGTTCGTTGGTTGATTATCAGAAGACAATAGTTATTTATCATATTTTCTTTTTAGTTTTTTTATTGTGGCATACTTATTTCTTATTTTAATAAAAACAATATATAATAAATGATATTAGAATAATTATATATATCAGTTTTGTTATAATAATAAAATTTAACTATAACACAATATTATTTCGCTTTTCCGTAATCTTATCGTTGCTTATATTTTATTAAAATAAAATAAAATAAATACATATTTTGAGATATGATTCGGCGTATATATAGAGTTGTTTCTCATTCTTTTGGTGTTTTGTAAACTGTAAACTTCGGTCGGTGTATTTGTGATGGATAACTCATATCGTTGCTTTTCTTTTACCGAGTTCGAGTATATAATAGATGGATCCTGCGACGTTAACAGTTGTGTGGGTAAACTGTGTGTATTACATATGTTCTTGTGATATGACACATATTATGTTTTGTAAGTTGTAAATTGCTATAGTGTTGGCTTGCCTTTTTATGTTTTTTGCGTTAAGATCTAAATGGACGTGTTAGGACTGTTGGAAACTACGTTGATCCACAATATCCTCTTGAAAGCTACATGATGAACGAGATATATATCGAATTGGAGAATCAGAGGTATTGTGTATTATCATACAGTTTAGAATTCAGAGCTACTTACTTACAATCAATTTTCCGCTGATTGTTTTATTTTATAATTATTAGAGGATGTCGTCTACCATGTCGTTTGGTTGGCAATTTTGGTCGAGATTTTCTCGATGGTTTGACGCATTGTGATGATGATATGATAATATGTATCGTTCTGTCTGCAAAGTTGATATCATTCGAGGTATTCTAAGGCTGAAATTTATGATACTTTTTCGAATATAGATATAACTATATAAAAATTATAAGTGTTTGTTAAGTTATTAATTATTTTGATTGTTTTTTTGTGATCATAAGGTAATTGGATGGCTGTAGCGGCTCCTAATTACACACGGATAATGTTGACACCAGCTATTCCTGAAGTAGTACGTCTCCGGGAGGCATTGGTGTCGATCAATATTGATTTCCATTTCACGAATACATAAATCTTGGAATACCAGCCTATACATTTTTTTATATCTTGTAAAACTACATTGCAGTTTTTTAGTTTGTTATTGTCATTTTCTTCTCATATGAATTATCTTATATATCTCTGCGTATGTGCGCGATTGTTACAATATATTATAGAATTGTTCATTTTATATTTAGACTAATAATTATTCTTTCATGTAATATATTGTTTAAGAATTGTAAATATTATATACGGAGGATAAATTATACAAATGATAAACTGTAAAGATCTTTCACTTTATTTAATTTATTGTTACGCTTAATTATTGATATGTATTATCGTTTTTGGTAGCTTAAACACATCGTTTACAAATAATTCCTTAAATTGTTTGCCTAAATCGCTAATTACTTATTTCTTAAATATATTTTCTACTTTATATATACAGTTACTGTAATGTTTGCCATTTTTTTAAATTGAATTTAACTTCATTATGTTAATTTTCCGTTAAAGTATATATAAATTGATAATATCTGAGTATTATTTTTTTGCTTTATACAGAGAATTAGAAGATTTTATCGTTTTTAACATTTTTAAAATAAAGAAAATTAGAAGATTTTATTGTCTTTACCTTTTGTTGCGATATATGTATATTCTAAAAAGTAGTAAATCATATCTGAATTAAGTCTAATTTACATATATATATATATATATATATCATGTCTCCTACTATATATATAAAGACCCATTCTTCGTCTTGGTTTCTCCCAATTTTTTTTCTTTGTTATAATATCGTGTGGTCTAAGCTATGTCGATTTTTAAAAGAAAATCAGCATCTAATGTTTTCGTTAGGGATTAACGTCCTGACTCTAATAACTTTGTTATCAAAGTTAATATCCTCAAGGTTTGAGATGGATTCAAAGGCAGAGCGGAGTGTTCACTTGAGATGGTCTTGGTTGATCAAGAGGTTAGTGCTATAATTTATGAATATCCCAGTTAGCCAATTATTTGTTGGTTAATTTTGTTTTTTATTGTCCTTTGGAACTTAGGGTGATAGGATACAAGCAACTGTTAAAAGGTTTTTTGCTAAATCTTTTCATAAAGATTTGGTCGATGGGAGATCGGTGTTTATCAATACTTTTAAGGTTGTTGAGTATAATTCTGAGTATCGAACTACACGAACACCTTTCCAGATAGTGTTCTATGCAACTACGACTGTCTCTGTATGCTTGGATTTTCCTCAAGAGGTTCCCGAGAAATATATGAAAAGTTTTTCAGATATTTTATCAACTGATTTGGACAATAGCTATTTGATCGGTACCATATCTAAACTGAGACGCATAGTTTATTTAACATTTTTTATGACATGGTATTAAACACTTTTTTGCATTAGATAGCTGTTGGCTAATTGTTTTGGTTCTTTTGTTTCGTGTTACTTTATTACAAACGCTAAGACGTGGTCGGACAAATCGTAAGAGTTGGTCATGTTCAGGACGTCATGGCTCAAGGAAAACATCGTTCTAGACTTAAGATTTATCTTAGAGATGAGAGGTAACATACTTAGTTCTAATTTAATATTTTATTTTATTTTGTGTTGTTTTTAGTTAAATGATTTAACTCATGATCATGTATTAATTATAACAGCGATCTACAATTACCGTGTACTCTTTGGGCTGATTACGCAAAAGAAGTTGCTGATTACGTTAAACGTAATTGCGCATCCGTCGTTGTGGTTATTATAAGGCTTGAATGTATCAAAAACTATCGAGGTATATTACTTAATGATTTATACTGATTCAATTTTAGCAACGATTATGAACAATTTTATCATAGATTATATGTATTTCTGATACACCGATTTATTTACACTTTAGGTGAGATGAGCATCTCAAATGCTGTTAATACAACTCAGATATTGTTTGATCCAGTGTGCCTCTTGTGGCAAAATTCTGATCTGAGTAGGAATCTATTCAATGGAATTACAGTACGGTTTTATTTGTACATATGTTCGTTCTACTATAATTAGTTTTTGTATTTTTCCATTTAGGTTGCCTCAAGATAAGTATATTCTCATTCCTAACGAAGATGATTCGGGTGTAGATTCTAAAGATTCATTAAACAATGAATTTTTGGGAACTAATATTAGGCGAAAGTTAAGTTCTATACATTCGATCGATACGGTATGTGAATATGCGATACTCTATCATTTTTGTTTATAAAAAAAAATTTGTATATCGGTGGTTGTCGTTGATTGTTTTGAATAAGCAGGTTGGTAAGTATGACACATTGGCGACCATACGCTCGGTTGCCAATAGTAATTCGTGGTATTACATAGCATGCAAGAAGTGTGAAAAAAGGTTCATCCTATACCCGAGAGAGACCATGCTCCTTCGCCGCCGTTTTGGAAATGCATTAATTGCAATAGTAATGTTTATGAGTCTGAAGTTGTTGCTAGGTAGTCAAATCTCTATTCTTTGAATTCGGCGTCCACACACCTTTATAATCATTATGTCATATATTTTTTTATATTTATAAAACTAATTGTCTAATTATTCTTTTATAGTTTCTTTCTGTTGTTGAACGTGGACGATGGTTTTGGAGGGACGGCAGTCTTTGTCGTGTTCGACAAAATTGCTCAAAAATTGTTTAAGAAGACTGCCGAGGAAGTTTTCGAAGAGTCTGTTGGGGTACACCTATAGTTTTATTTGATAAGCGTTATGATTATATACCTCAATTAAAATATTTCCAATATATTTTGTAGGATAATTCGTCTGGACTGCCTCAATCACTGCGTGATCTAGAAGGAAAAGAGTTCCTTTTTAAGGTTGTTGTAACGGAAGATAATGTCAAAAAGGTTAAGACTTCGTTTTCGGTTGACCGGTTTACATCTGATGACTATATGATTCAGACGTTCTGTAGTCAGGTCTATTCTGGGTATGCTTTCGATTCTTAGTTTGTCTGGATATTTAGATATGTAACTATGCATAACGGATTGTTTATTTGCTATGATTTTGTTTTTTTAAGCCTCCACTTTTGGAAACCTTTGTTTGTGAAGATAAAGGAGCACATATCGAGAAAACTCTGCCTGCCTGTTCTAAAAGTGATTGTGATGATCCTGATGTCAGTGTTAATGTAAATGCAGAAGCTTCTATCGAGAAGATTGTACCTGCATCTTCTAAAAGTGACTGTGATGCTCCTGATGACATTGCTAAACTAAATACAGATGTTTCTATTGAGAAGACAGCTCCTGTGAGTTCTAAAAGAGATCGTGAGGATCCTGACGTCATTGCTACTCCTGTCAAAACATCTGAATCTAGAAGGAAGAAGAATTCTATGTCATAGGATGTTTAGTGATAATGAGTTCGCTATAATATTATCTTATATATTTTTATGTTTCGAGTTTTGGTAGAACATTTTTCTATTGAAAATATTATTGATTTAGATTTTATGCTTACTTAATTTTTATTTAATTTGAAAGAGTTTAATATTTCGTTATAAATAGTTGTTCTTTCTTTTTTAACAAAGATTTATTTATATTCAATTTTATGTTTACAATCGTCGTGTGTATCGCATATTCACACCATGTCTGTGGATAGAGATGTCAAACGGACCAGCCCGCGTCCAAATAACCCAACCCGATGCGGTTTTATTTTTTTGTTGGGCCTTGCGGACTGGCCCATCGCGGATTGCGATCCCAAAATCTATTGTCCAAGTCCAACCCGCCTATATTCTACGGGTTAGCGGACTGACCCGCGGATTCCATGTATTTTTTCTTTATAATGCTCATCTTTGTAATTTACGTTAGACTATCGATATTAAACAACAAAAGCAACATCAAGTCTATTCTCTATACTTTCATCTTTACTAGATTTTGGTAAGTGAATGGATTTGAAGTTCATCAAAAGCCTTTCAAAAAGATATAGTCCAATTACAAAAATCTTAATCAGAGAAGGATATAGTTTAGTTGCTCGTGTCTATGTTGTATGAAGCAATGATTTTGAATTAAAACAACAAGCATCATTCAACTTAAAAGCAATATTTTGAAACTATCACCAACAATCCAATAAAAAAAATTTCAAGAATCAGAGAAGCAAAAGAAGAATAAAATCTAAGAAAGTATCAAAGTAACATAGGCTAAAACCAGAGAAAGCAAGAAAATCAAAAATCCTAGAAGAAATGAAGTTCAACCTAAAACTTTTAACTTAATTCTCAAATTCAAGAAGCAAACCAAAGTTGATAATTCTTCAATTTTCATCTTCATCCTCAGCTTCATCTTCGTCCTCATCTTCATCATTGAGAATGGATTGGAAAGATGGTAGTGTCTTATCTTCACTATCAGATTCTTCTTCCTCCTCTGCATATATGATTAAATTAAGTTAGTGAACCAAATAATTTATGATTAAATAAGTGTAAAAATTTTGACAAAAATTTGTTTACCATTTTCATATGCTTCAAATCCCTTTAACCAATTGCGACTGTATATCAAAGCTTGCACGTTTTTGGGAAGAAGCCGGCTTCTATATTTGTTCAAAATACGAGCTCCAATGCTAAAAGAGGATTCTGAAGCTACTGTCGTGATGGGTATACTAAGCAGATCGCAAGCCATTAAAGAAAGCTCACCATATCTTTTTGAGTTAATTTTCCAATAATCCAAGACGTCGAGATCGATCTCGTCTAATGCCGGTTCATCAAGATACAATTCCAGAAAAGTCTTCCCACTAACAGCAACACTTGACCTGCGAAAGGCAAAGAAATCCTGAAAGCAAAAAAAAAAACAAAAAACTGTAACTACGTATTTATAAACTAAAAGAGAAAACGTGAAGCAAAGCACAGCATGAAGCAAAGCTTCTACAAAGATTAAATAAATGTTGAACAGAAACGTGTAGCACACTTGCAAACAAAAAGACGAAATAAATATTTAAACGTGGTGCACACTTGCAAACAAAAAGACGAACGAAATATTTAAAAGTGAAGCACACTTGCAAACGTGGAGCACACTTCCAACTCAACTATAATGTATACTAGTTCATAAGAAATAAAACTTGCAAACTTAATCCAGATAATAAGACACATAAATAACATAAAAAATTACTTACATCGTAATTCATAAAGCTCCCAATTTGTGCTCTATCTTTTGCATTAGTTTCTCGTGACTGTGTAGATGGTGGTGGAGATTTCGTCCTTTTCTCATATGATTCAAAAAGCAGACGCAGTTCAGTATGCAAGTTTTCCATCTTGGCTTGATAAGTTCTCACATCAAGCTTTGCAAAACAAAAGTCCACAAGTGTAAGCTTTAACCGTGGATCAAAGACGGTAGCCATTGCAAAAACATCACTAACTTCTTCCCAATACTTATCAAACTTCTCCTTCATCGGTATAATCATTTTTCTGATAATCTCATCTGGGCTTGATTCATTCACTGTCAACCAGTTTTGAATCGTCCAAACTTGCATAAAGTACAAGTTAGAAGTTGGATATGTCGAACCTGAGATAAGCCGAGTGATCTCATAAAACGGCTTCAGAAAAACAGAAATCTCTTTTGCTCGATTCCATTCTTCATCTGTAGGAAAGAACTTGTAATTTTTCCCATCAATCCTAGCAAGGTGAGAAAAAGCAGCTTGGAACTCGATAGCCCTATCAAGCATTTGGTAAGTCGAATTCCAGCTCGTTTGCACATCCAAAAGCAAACCTTTATTCTTGTCTAAACGCACAGCGTCAACGCATTTTCCAAATAATATCTCCCGAGACTCGGATACAGTTACATACTTGATACTCTCTCTGATTTTATGCAAGGAATCACCAATAACTTTCAGCCCGTCTTGAACAATAAGGTTAAGTATGTGAGCTGCACATCTAACATGGAAAAATTCTCCTCCACACAGCAAATCATCTCGTATAACAAGCTGAGATTTCAAAATGTCTTGCATTGAATCGTTGCTAGTAGCGTTGTCTACTGTGATCGAAAAAACCTTTTTCTGAATTCCCCATTCTTCCCAAGACTCAAGAAGCTTCATTGCTAAATTGATACCTGTATGTGGTGGTGGGAGAGCACAAAATGCAAGGATTTTGTTGTTCAGCTTCCAGTTTCGGTCAATGTAATGTGCCGTGATACACATGTATCCTTCATGCGTGATTGCAGACCACAAGTCAGTTGTAAAGCTGATCCATCCAGGAAGACTAGCTAGTTCATTCTTTAACTTAGCTGTCTCATTCTCATAGAACCGATACACATCTTTTGCGGCTGTGTTGCGACTTATGAACTTAACATCAGCATTCAAATATCTCCAAACTTCTCTGACTCTTTCGTACTCAACATAAGCATACGGCAAATCATGTTGAATAATTGTCTTAGCTACCATCTCACGAAAAACAAAGTGATCAATCTTCCGTGCTTGTAATCATGATTGGAGACATAAACGTAAGCATTAAGTTTCCATGTAATGTTATATGATTATAGAGTAAAACTTACCAGGTCGTCCATGATTCACGATGATCAAGATCTCAAAGTTTGAACTCTCTTTCTCAATCTCTAAAACACTTTGTCTGCGTCTCTCAAACTCTCTGTCTCTGCCGAATGAATAAGTGGCTTTTAAGAAACCTTTTGGCTAAATTAGGTTCATTAATAGTAGGGTTTTAGGTTTATATAAAAGTGACTCTAATTGGTGCAAAAGGTTTTAAGATATTATAAAATAAAATTTCAAATCTTACGTGATAAACGTAACCTAAAGGTAACTTTTATTTGAAAGACAACCTTGGAGGATTCTGTAATGCTACTTGGTGCTGACCACTCGTCACCACCGATTCACAGCTTGTGTCTTTACCTGGGAGTGACGGCTGGACAGTTGCAGTCAGAGGCCAAAAGGACACTTGCAGTCAGATCAAATAAGAAGACAATTTCTCTACTTACCAAGCAATGGCCATCCAACTTACCGGAGACAAATCAACACTCCTTAGAGTTATAAGTCCCGGATACTTCTCAGCCAATTCATTTACCTAAAACAAACCAATGCATTAGAGAAATTTTCTAAGTTAGTCAGGTTCTTAAGGAAAGATAAAGAAATTAGGATCACTAGAAATGAAATGAATGAAAACCTTGGCGGTAAGAGGTGCCCGTAAGTGCGGTTTAACTGACTCAAAGTACTGAAACCCAATGTAACCGAGCTTATCTCGCATCAACGAATCATCAGAAACAAAATTCCATATTTTGCAAGAACCACTACTCATTGACATTGACAACTTCTCAATCTCACTATCATCACTCCAACATTCACTCTCACAATCAATCACCTCACTCTGGTTCCTGCAACAACCATAAATTCACTCCTCAATTTCCTTCCAACCATAAATCGACTTTTGTTCCAAGTCCATACGCACTTAACTCATCAAAAGAGTCCCAAAGATCACTAAAACTGAAATACTCAATCTTATCTATGCTCTGGTGTATCCAAAAACTATTCAAATTATTTTCGCAGCTCTGCAAATTAACAACAAAAGATCAAACTTTTAAACGCTTGAACCCTGTTTTACTGATTACGCTAAATATTACACCCACTAAAAAGCATTATTGTAATGCAGCACAAATATTAAATACTACGACATGCTATTAAACATGCATTTGATTTCAATAATTTCTGAAAGAGACAGTCATCGAATGATAAAAAGATGAAGAAGACACGTTCATCTTTATGCTTTTCGAAGGTGAATATTCCACCATTGCAGCTTTCAAAGCCCAGAAATGCCAAAACGGACACCAAAAACAGAGTCAATTTGAAGAAATTTGCTTACCAGTTTGAACAATTTTCCCTCGACAGATCACAGATCCGATGACGCCAATGAGAAAAGCAATTTTGCGGTTCAGCCCGCTTACCCGCAAATCCGCTCCGGGTCACCCCGCAAAACCCAACTTCCGCACGGGTCAGACCCGCGAAGCCCGCCTTTAATTTGGACAAAAAAAATTAGGCCCAAGCCCGCTTGTGTTCTATTTGGGCCGAGCCCGCGGATTTAAGCCCAACTTGACATCTCTATCTGTGGATCATTTTTTATCGCATTTGTTTTAGTTATGGTTATCAAGTTTGATATTATGTCGATAGTTCGTTTATTATTCTCTTAGATATGATAGTGGGGTTATAATCAATAGACCTTTTAAAGCGTTGTTTTGGGATTTAGGTTTATCCTTGAACACATCTACGTAACGTCCTGGAAACTGTCGTGACTCTGAAAATTGATTTTATTGCGACCCGATTCATATAAATCTAAACTCTGTCCGTTTTTTTTTTGTTATAAGTATTAAAATTAATAAAATGTACATATATCACGATATAGTTAAATAAATATCGTGATATATATATTACGATCATAATATTTGTACGAATAAGTATCCAGTATATGTAGCAAATGAATTATATATTCAGTTTTAATGATTCTCGAAGATTCTAAAGAAAATTTATTCTGTTGTATTTACGTGTGCGTATATTTATGAAATAAAACAAAAATGTCAAATTTCCAATAGAAAAAAATGCCAAAATTATAACAAAACCCTAGAATACTCGGTTATATATAGATGTAGTGTCATATCGTGGTTACTCCATTCTTTGCTGCGAACTTTTTCTTTATACCTCTATAATGAACTCATCAGGTGCGATATATACTATACATCCAACTTGATATCGTTTTGTGTTTATTAAGTTCTGCTTTCTTACTTATACTGGTTGGTAACTTAGATCTAATTATGTTTCGTAGGTGCAAATACACGTGGAAGTGTTCGTCTAATCGTGTTGCCTTTCCATCTTCCTGAATCTGAGATTGTGATGACTGATGAAGGCGGAAATCTTGGTTCTAATGGAATATCTAAATTCACGGCTTGGATGAACTGCAACAAAGAATACCCGGAAGCTAGGATGCTTACGTATTCAGAAATTCCAAGTCAATTTGTTTGGGATCGTAAGCAAAAGTTATGGAGACGACGTGTCATTGGTGACCCTGGAGTTAGTGTTATAGCAGATTGTTTGGATGGATCTGGCGAGGCTTATTATCTCATGATTTTGTTGGCTGTGAGAAAGGGCCCATGTTATTATGAGGATATTAAGACTGTTGCTGGTATTGTGTATACTACCTCCAAGGATGCATGTCATGCGATGGGACTAGCCAATTTGTAAATTTTATAAGTTAAGCATTAGGATTTTAAGTTATTTATTTTTATTTTTTATTTAATTTTATATTTTTATATGGCATATTATGATTATTAAAATGTTTCTGTTATAATTAATAAAATTACTAAGGTTTTATATTAATATTGTATTTTTTTTATCAAAAAGTCTCCTATAGTTTACCGTCATAAGAAAAAGTAAAACATGGATTTCGGTTGGAATTATGCTATATCTATAATGTTTATGAATTGATGTTTTTTTTTCTTTCGTAGCACGGATCAACCCTAGCTTATATATATATATATATATAAATTTGACATTATTCCTTAAATGTTCAATATAAATTTATTTATAGAATTTTTCGAACGAATATAACATCCTTTGATTCGTTGTAATCCCGAAGGGAAATTTACCTTATCATAAAATAATAAAATAAATTTTATGTGAAAATGGATCTTATATATATTTATCGTATTTTTTTATTAATAAAAAATAGTTAATTTTGGTTAGAAATTGTCATTTAATTTTGTTAGTTTTGACGAATCGTTGCTTAAGTATATAAAACCCGCCTTTAAAAGCATAACCGTCGTTTCTAAAGTATTTTAAACCCGCATTTTAAAACATAACCGTTTATTGTCTCCGTCTTATAAAAAGAAACATTCATTTTTATCATCTTTCATCTCCAAACTAAATAAAAACAACGAATGTCTCCATGTAATAGAGTTTCTGAACTTCAGAAGACAAACAGCGGGCAACGTATTTGTGTCCAAGTAGTAGAAATTA